TTCCGATGTGATCGATTTGTACCGGAGGCCAGTCAGAAGCTGATGGGCGTCCTGTCACTTTTCTGCGAGTGCTGTGTCAGAAGTTAATGCTTGTGAAAAACGGACAAGCGTCTATACCCAGGTGAAACACCCCCACACGATTATAATTACAGGAGGCTAAACCGTGTTGGCTTCTCAGACGCAGGTCATCAGTGGACATGTTTACAACTTAAGCGCTTAGATCACCAGCCAGCATAACAGTATCAACACCGCTGCTGTTCAATCAGTTGATGATACAAGTCACTTTCCAATGGGTCAGCGCTACAGTTTGTGAGGGCGTAAACAGCAATGACAAATATACACCGACTGGCCTCGCACCACTCCGGAGATTTAAACAAGCCAGCTAGTTGCACAGCGCACATCCAGCAGAAAAAAAGAAAGGAAAGGCATCAGCAGTACGCCGGGACGCAGCAGGGATGCTTCGCCGCCAAGAGTCGCGCGTGGGCTAAGGATATTGTGAGAGTCGCTCGGTTCCGTAGGCAGACCCGAACCCGCGACCTTCGGATTACAAGGCAATCATGTGATCCCCTTGACCACTGGCCGGCAACTAACTGAGATCCAGTCTACCATATCAGCATCAACTTGGGAGCTAAGAGCAATGGTTAGACCGGCATCCTAAGCTGTGTTATCTCAGGATAAACGCAGTGAGAAAGTACGAACAACGTCACATGGCGATCGTAGAGTGAGCAAATAGCTCGTCTTGCAGACGACTTCCGAGATAGCAGATAGAGATCGGTAGGGTCTCTAGTGTTCGGATGTGCTGCTTAGTGATCGATATAAAACAGATTGGGTACGTTAAGGCATACCAGTCTTGGCGGATATCAAGGGTCCCAAACAGAAGCGGAGAAACTGTGGTTGTCCGCATAATTAGTGATGGAGTTGTTGACAGGACAAAAGGGGCGCTCCGAAATTGTGAATCGAAACTAGAAGACGAACACTTATGAAACCAATGTGAGGGGCCAAGGAATGAGTGGTTGAATACAAGGATGATAAAAGGGTAGTTGAATGAGATGATGAGGGTAAAAAGCTGTAGACAAAATACGAAGAGGGAAAATCATGAGCAGTAACGTCCTCATTCCTATCCGCTTCGCTCGATGCAACAGATAAAGAGCCCTCGATAATCTTCCGCGACGGTCTGAGCATCAAAAATTGTGTTAAAATGTCACGTGGTTGCTCGTAGTTACGGTGACAAGTGAAGCCGGAAACTGAAGTCGCCAGCCATACGTGTATGGCATACGCAGATTAACACCTCCGTTATTTGAACACTCAAGGGACTGGACCAAAATGGTCAGCATACAGAGGTCCGGATCCAGAAGGTTTACATGGTGAACGTTCAAGAAATGAAAAACCGGACAACTTAGAGAGGTGGTCGGGATATGGATGTGGTCAACTTTGGTTTTACTAAATACTTGCATATATATGGTTGGTGGCATCTGGTTCCGGAGATAACTGTCACTGCAGCCTCCCCAGGGACAGCCACAGGAAGCCCGCATCTACTCAGCACAGGTGTAGGATGGCGCAAGACTCGTGGACAGAACATGACTTGGCAGCGGGAAATGAAGTCACTGACGACCAAACTGGGTGTCGTTGGTCCGTCTCGCCTTCCGGACTGGAGTCCACGTGACCCACCTTGTGCTTGGCTCGAGACTTTACAGGACATGGTTCGCAACCGACACCAGTGGTGCGTCTGCTGCCGTCTTCTAATCGGATTACCTGATTAAATTGGGTTTGGTGCTGAGTTATCTGCGAGGTAATGGCTGATTATGACGCGTGGTAGTGAAAGCCGCAAGGAAGCTGTCTCGTCGATGCCGCCTTATCTTTGCACGATAGCCAGCTGTTTGTGACGGTATGTTGTCTACACAAGGTGTAGGCACCTTGACCCAGAATGCTTGCTTAGGGCATTAAGCTTTTTCAGGTAAGTCCCCCTACTCTCCCACTTATTATTCTTTATTACATAGGTCATCATGGTTGTATAGCAGCGAAGTATCAGTTCAAATGGTTGAGGCAAAGTTGTTTGTTGTTGTTGTTGTTGTTGTTGGGGACAGCGACACTTGTCTCAAACGTTGTGACTCTGTCGGAGTTTACGCCATTATCTTTCTTCCATTCCCATTCCGACACTATTCAAATTTTTGCTTTCCCCCTTTCGTGATCGTTAAATGTCGCTCGTTTGCATGTGATCAGAAAGCGCGAAGTGATATCATCGTGCAATACCTGTGTTACTTAGGCTGATTTATATGCAGGGTGATTATGGCCAAGAGTAAGTGTAAATCAGGGCCATGTATTCTACAAAATAATTTCAAGAAACAGAATATACGTAAAGAAGAGATAGAGCCAGCCTCGTCTAGTGTGCAGCATACATAGTGATGTAGATATTGAACAAATACGAAGAAGACGTAGCTTACCGACACGGCATGTCACTGCACTAGAATATGCTTGCGAAGGCAGCAAAGGTGACATAGTCAAGAAGCGTATAGAACTGTGGTGAGAAAAACGTGGAGCATCAGTGAAATACGGCCATACTAATTAAGCCAAATATGAGGGGAAGTTCGACGTGATGCGTACGTACTAAACGGGCGCAGTACAGATAAGGTATAGCACCATCAGTAATTAGTCACATTAGAATGAAGCTGTACCCAAGTAACATGCACTAGCTGTAGAATGACAGTGACGAAAGATTGCACACTGCATAGCACCGCGTTGACGATGCCACGTAGCATGGTGGCGAAAGGTATGCAACCATATCGGCAGGATCGGGGTACAACCGACCAACTAAATAGTCGGCACCTTTGTTTTGGTTAGCAAGGGAATTGGTGTACTTAAGTAGATCTATGCAAACAAGAACACTAGTTTCTATACGCTCAACTAAGTTCAATTCTTCTGACGAACCACGGGAAATATAGTTATAGTCACTCTAACGACTAACATGTAAAAAAACAGGAAACATCATCATGTTGAGCGACTGTCTGTTACTTGCCGGATTGTTCACTTTCCACGGATGTTCCAGAGCGATTTCTCTTATGATGCATGGTCGAAGGTGAGCATCCAGAGCGATTAACTGTCTTGAGTCCAACTTTTCACTTCAACATGAGGAAGCAATGTTGAGTGTTGCAAGTGGCCTGAACTACTTCTCAGTAGGTGGATAGAATACTAGAGCGTGGATAGGACCTGTAGTATTGATGCAGCATGGTCACAAGGCAAGCAGGTGTATGCTCAGGGCTAGAACATTAGTTCTCTGGCACATGACTCACGAATGTTTGGTTGATTGCTGACACCAATTGATTGGATCTGAGCAAACGTTGGCATCGAGGGACGGTTGCACCACATTGATTGGTTTTTCGTAGACAACAACTTTCTCTCTTGACAGTGGTTTCGAGGACCTCCAGTCTTTAGTCCCTATGAAACGACCCGGTGATCGACCATTCCGTACTGGTTGTCTGCGAGCCATAACCAAATCTGGAATCACCGCTGCTCGCATGCCCGAAGCTACCCGAATCTGCATCCGTTGATTGTCTCAGAAACAGGTGCACAAGTAGTAAATGAAAAATTTAGCTTGGGATTATAGTCCGGTAGACGCTGGTTGCTGTTGAAACGAAGTCGTAGCTGGTTAACATGGCTGTCCCAGGTTTCGCCATCGACCTCAATTAAGTAAGCGAATCTGCCTAGTTGTCTAGTAAATGCACCAAGATCCTATTTGATTTTAGAATGATTTTAGAATTCTAGACGGTCCCTTCCTGCTGGTGTTGTGACGCATTTGTACTTGTCCGGTCTGTCACTTGTCTTCGCATAAGATTGATAGAATTCCAAACTAACCTGCTGTCGACCTAGCAGCATCTCTGGTGGTGACTATCCACTACACGCTGGATGCGAAGTGATGCGATATACTGTGCGAGAAAGGGTTTCTATGCGTCGCGCTTTTGATCAGTGGCCGTTTGAAGGTATGGAGAAATCGCTCAACCTGACCGTTCGAGTGAAAACACTGCAGTGACAAATTGTTTCGTATTCCTCTGAGGTAAGTTGTGGCGCACTAGCTGGCACCAGAGTTTCGGGTATAGTGGCCGTTGTGTTCGGCGTTGTGATGTAGGTACATACAGAAGGAGTCATCAGCAGTACGCCGGCACACTGTACGGACGCTCCGCTGCCACGTGACCATCACCGAGTGCGTACCAGGCCGGTTGCATCCACACAGATTCGAACCAGTAACCTGTGAATCACAAGGCAAGTTCCATATTCTTTCGGCCATTGGTAATAGAGTCCATCCACGTGCAGCGTTCAGGTGCTGTTGCTCGGTAATGTAGCAAATTCAACTACATCCTAATTTACCGATTATCCCAAAGAGAAATGGCGCGTAGGGCTATAGCTTTTCTCGGTCAACTGCATCCATAGCATAGGTTAATTCTTCCTTAAATGAACCATGTTCCTCCACAGAACAATGTGTCAGCTGTATGCCGTAAAGGCACGCGGACTGAGTATACCGCGAGGACGCCCACCCCTACGCGGATTCGAACCGGGTGACCCTATGGTTACAAACCAAACGCGCAGACCACTCGGCCACCGACCGACTCCTCCACAGAGCACCCAAGATGGTTCTTAACGCCATCAAATTGCATCCAACAAACGCAAATGCCCTAAATTCATTGAGGGGGTAATCACAAATCAGACAGCAGCATCTCACTCAGTGCGCTTATCAGTTATATTATTAGCTGATTTGAAAGCTGGTTACTCAACGAATAGTACGCATATGTTAGGAGCATTTGCGGCCGTTAGATGCAACTTCACATGATTAAGGACCAGTTTGGTAGATCTACGAAGAAGTGAGACCCATAAAGAGGAATTTGAAAACGATGTAGATGCAAATAGTTAAGGAATAAAAATTGAGGTCATTCATTCGCGTTAGCACAGCAACGGAAACAAAAGGTGAGACAATGCAGTTGAACCCATTAAAAATACAGATGCAAACGTACCAATTCTTATTCTCCGGGTGCACACGGTATTCAACAACTTCGGTGGCTTTTACAACGCTTCGGAGATCAACATTATGACTAATAGAAATCATATGCTTGTTGGTTCTGTCAAGCGAGCTAAGTTCGATAGCCTTCAATTGTCCGAATTGAGGGAACATCGGAAACAGGGAGTTCAGCAAACGGAGAGAGTGTATGCGGCCAGACGCGTGATCAACTGACCGCTGTAACACGTCGATGTTTATAACGTTGTTGTTATGGGGGTTTGGGTACTTGTTCTGAACGGCATGCATTACTTCGTCCCATGGATGCCTTGCGAAAAATCACTAGGATAAAAGGAAGGCAGCATACCTGATGACCCACTCCTCAGACCAGCCCCGCAGACCTGCGAACATGGCAATGTGTAGTATGCGTCCGGTCGAAGATTCCGGGGGCTTCGGTGTCCAGTGCGTACGTAGACCTGCGGAGCTGCAATGGAAAGCAAATGTCTCGTAGACGGCTGGACGCTTATATCACAACCACCTAATAGGAGACCAAACGAAACGTGAAGGTAAAGAGGAGAGGAAGGACCAATGACCGTCTAATCGAAGTACGACGATCTTCTTATTTTAGGAATCCCCGCAAGATCACGCTCGGATCTGCTATACAGTGTGAGGGAAGCGAGAAACCAATCAAAGAATTTACTGAGGGAAAGCATTGTCAGCTCCATCAGTTCCTTATCATTCTGAGTTTAATGCGTCGTTGCGTTACGACGTCTCGCGCGGTTCGCCGCAAGATTCCAACATCCTCAACAAATGGTTGTCTGGAAGCCGCTTGAAACCTCCCTCACATGGTGCGTCCGTAATTTCTTCCGGTAGGTCGTTCCAACCACTTGCCACTCTAGTGGATAGGATGAGGTCCATGCGAATTCGGTCTTCTTCGTTTAAACAGCCTCCATGTGTGACATTCTGTGGAAAAGTCAATGCTGGGCCGGAAGAAATGTAACTAACTTCCAAGTTCCCACGGAGGAGCCTCGGGTAGTACAGATTTAGCTGCTGGAGTCGAATGGCGTGCGGGAGATGACGAAGCCCTAGTAGAGCTTTCGAGGCACGCCTCTGAACTTTATCTAGCAGAGCGGATGCAAACTTTGAAAGCGAATGGATAGCTGGTAGACCATATTCTAAAATTGGACGGACATACGAAGTGAACAAAGGTCGAAAAGTCTCAGGAATCATTCGAGCGAATGATCTCCTTAGAGCACCCACCAGTCTTCTTCCAGTGCGACTGCCCTTATTGTATTTTGCCACTATAATCGATTCACTCCAATTAGCCGGGACACGCGTCCTTCCAAATACGTTCGAATCGGGAGGTCAGTGCTTTGCAAAGGACCTCATCTCCATCCTTAAATAGTGCAGGTGGGAGGGAATCCGGGCCAGCGGCACGAAAACGATTAAGAGCTTTGATCGCGTTTCGGACCTCGGCCTACGACGGAGGCTTTAAACTAACCGTCCATGGTTCATGCTGCATCAACTGAGTAACAAGGGGTCCGGGAGGAAAGAGTCAGCTGAACTGATCTTGAAAGTGTTCCGCCCAAGGATCCATATGGCGCCTTATTGTGTATTAGTGCACCCGCACTGTCTCTGTCTTGCTGACGTCTAGTTGCCTGGGACTAATGGTGATGATCAGCTGAAAGAGATTGCGGTAATTGAATAATACTTCTGCCTTTATTTCTTGAGCCCGACTGGTTCACCAGGCTTCTCTGTCGGCACGCTGGCTCCGCTTTGGTTCGTGCCTAACAGTCCGTCTGGTCACATTGTGCTCAGTCAGCCGGCAGGTTTCTTCTGGATTCCAACAGGTTCACCAACTTCTCGGATATTCAGTGACTGGTGGGGTGATGACTGATAGTAACAAAAGCAGATGCTCCTGCGTCATGCATGGCGGCCGAGATCCTATTCTATTGAAGCTCAGTGCCCTTAGGACAGTTTTGCACTGAGCAGCTTGATGTCTGTCCTGTGAGCCTGAAATGGTCCCATAATTTCCGTCGTTATTTCATTAGAAATCCGTTCCTTATCAATCCATGGGGTCTTTTTGATGGTTGGCTGCACCGACAGTATGGAACAAACTGTCCAATGAGCCGCGTCATCATAGATCACAGGCGTTCCCATGCGACACCAAGCTCCAAAGATTGCGGAATACTCCAGTCCATGTTACCTGTAGCCGTTCTTAATCTGGCTGGTCAGTGCGCTAGCAATTTCGACGCAGCGTCCGCTGATCGTGGATTGGGAGGCGTCGTGTAGAAGAAAAGATGACTGTACAGTAAGCACTCTTCCCAAGAGGTTGGAGGATCGTTAGATAAGAGACATCAAATGAGGCCGGGGTGAAGACCAGGTCTAGAATATTTGCTGTCTGACTCGGGAACATCCGTGTTAGTGCCGAGACAAGCTGTGTTAGTTTGCACTCGTGAACGGTATCAAGGAGATGAAATCCAACCGTAGTATACACGTTAGCTGCAGGTGAAAAACACCTCAGCTATTGCGCCGCAATACAAAGGGCAAGAAGAAGAAAACAAAAGAGGACGCCGGCGGAGTACCCAGTAACACATGGATGTTCCGGAGCAACCGTCGCAACGAGACTGGACCTTAACGTGGTGCGACGGTTTGCGTACCTCATTGACCCACTGAGCCATACTGGGTGATGCCTCCGGGCATCTCGAGAGCTACTCCTACCAGGTTAGTCAATGGTGAGAGATCAGACAAACTCAGTCTCCTGGTCCTCCAGGTTGGGGGTTTGAAATGAGGTGGTGTCCATTTCTATAAAACTAAATCACTGCCACCTCCACGCTGCCTTGTGGACAGGCTTTTGAGCCAAAGGCTTTGGATGAAGACCCTAATCATCCTGCTGTGTAGGTCTCGGCGCCCTGGCAGTATCCCAGCCCACATACAACCATGACATTTTCTACAAACATAAACTTCATCCTACATCGGCCGTCGCGCAGATTATCAAGGGTCGTCTTATCTGCTGCATACAGCAGGGCGGATAAGCGAAAGCATGCTACTGCTGGCGCCTCCCTTCTTTCTTTTCCACCTGTTTCTCCTACTCCCATCCCGACGCCCATTACTAACCTTCCTTCTATAATTCCCAGCTTAATTGACAGCAACCGAAGTGCCACTGGAGTAGAACCATCTGCAGCCACCATCCCACTGCACCTATCGGCAAAATTCCCTTATAAGGCCACGCTATCCCGTTTCCCTGGCGACATTCAACGTTCGCACTCTAAGACAAACAGGTCAACAGGCTGCACTCGCACGCACCTTGGACACACTGGGTATTGAGGTGTGTTGTGTGTCCGAAACTAAGATCAATGACCCTAACGAAGTTATTGAATTGACTGCACCCGGCTTATCCTCTCGTTATTGGTTGCACGCATCCGGAGACGCTGATGCAGCACTCACGGGACAAGCTGATGTGGGTATCATTCTAAGCTCCAAGGATGTGCCATCGTTGGTTGATTGGATTCCGGTGAACAGTCGTTTATGTGCAGCCCGTTTGACGACATCAGATAAGATTGATTCACCAGGTAGTACAAAACGCTGTTTGTTTGTGATTTCCGCTTATGCTCCTACCGGCTTCAGTTCAGATGTTGTCTAGGAGACATTCTATCATGAACTGAACGCGCTACTTCGCAGTGCTACTAGTTCAGATATTATAGTACTTGCAGGTGATATGAACGCACAAGTAGGGCGTCTGAGCTCTTCAGAAGCTCAGCTGGGAGGTAAGTATGGACTTAACTCCGAACGGACTGACAACGGTGAGCGTCTGCTGCAATTGTGTGCGGAGCACCAGTTGTTTCTTACTAGCACTGCTTTTAGACACAGTGAGCGCCGAAGTGCCACTTGGCGTCCTCCTGCAGCTGGCCAGCGAAGGACCCAAATTGACCACATTGTCATAAGTTACAGATGGCGTGGTTCCATCCTGGATTGCCGCTCGTACTGAAGTACCTGTGTCGACTCTGATCATGCCTTGGTGCGCTGTCGTTTCTCCATGAACTTTACCGGGAGGCGCACCAAGCGTCCCCTCAGATTGGCAACGGAGAAATTGTCTCAGCCCTCGGTCAGGCAATCCTATCAAGACGCACTGCATAGCGAACTTCCGCTGTCTTGTCCTAATGACACTGAGCTTCAATGGAATAGGATCTCGGCCGCTATGCACGACGCAGGAGCATCTGCTTGTGGCACTATCCATCGTCACTGCACCAGTCACTGGATATCCGAAAGGTCGGTGAACCTGTTGGAATCTAGAAGACACCTCCCGACTGGCTCTGAACACAATGTGATCAGACGTGCTATTAGGCGTGAACTAAAGCAAAGCCTACGTGCTGACAAGGAAGCCTGGTGGACCAGTCGAGCTCAAGAAATGGAGGAGACAGGAGCAGTAGGCAATTACCGCAAGCTCTTTCAGCTAATCCGCACCACTGGTCCCAGGAAACTAGGCGTCAGTGAGACAAGCAGAGACAGCGCGGGTGCGCTGATACACAAAAAGGAGCGCCGTATGGCTCGTTGGGCGGAACACTTTCAAGATCAGTTCAGCTGGCCCCCTGCTCCCGGACCTCTTCCTACTCAGGTGATGCAGGACGAGCCATGGACGGTTAGTTTAGAGCCTCCGTCGGAGGCCGAGGTCCGAAACGTGATCAAAGTCCTTAATCGTTTTCGTGCCGCTGGCCCGGATTCCCTCCCACCTGCACTATTTAAGGATGGAGGTGAGGTCCTCTGCAAAGCACTGACCTCCCGATTCGAACGTATTTGGAAGGAAGTGTCACGGCTAATTGGAGCGAATCGATTGTAGTGGCAATATACAGGAACGGCAGTCGCACAGACTGTTCTAACCACAGGGGTATTAGCCTAACGCCAGTTGTGACAAAATTATTGGCCTCGATTCTGGTTCGTCGCCTCACTGCGGAACGGGAATCTCGGATTAGGGAAGAGCAGGCCGGTTTCCGCCCAGGACGTGGCTGTATGGACGATATATTCACTTTGCGGCAGGTGCTAGAGCAGCGCCACGCATACCGTAGACCGACAAGAGCTGTGTTCCTCGATTTCAAGAGTGCGTTCGATTCAGTCGATCGATCGATTCTGTTCGAAACACTTGCGCGGAAAGGTGTTCCCACGAAATATGCAAACATCCTTCGTACTCTATACTCGAACAGTACAGGCCGCGTCAGGGTCCAAGGTGTGCCATCAGATAGCCGTCCGACCACAAGTGGCGTTCGTCAGGGTTGTCCGACTTCCCCACTTTTGATCAATTTCGTCGTGGATTCTATCACTGAGTGTTCGCTTGCGGAATCTCACGATGTAGGCGTTGAAGTGCTGCCTGGTGAAAGGTTAGTTGATCTAGATTATGCGGATGATATCCTCTTGCTTTTCGACGATGTTGCGGCGGCCCAATCGACCCTGAATAGCCTCTCTGTATTGGTCCCATTATTTGGTATGCACTTCGC